AGATGTCATCCAAAGAGGGTTTTAAGAACTTTTAAGGAAAGATATTAAAATTTCTTAATAACATTATTGTGTAAATAATTAGACTAAATTTATATATAACTATTAAAAAAATATGGAAGAAAGGAATATGTGGTAATTAATATAGAATATTTTATATAATAAATATAAAGTATATGTAAGAATATCTTTTTTTCAATGACTATTAGATTTTTTTTTTACATGCGTTAAATACGGGATTATAATATTCAGAAAAAAATTTCATGATTTTTTTATATACGGGAGAAATTAAAAATAATAAAGATATATAATCCAGTATAGGTAAATATATTGATAAATATCTTTTATCTTACAAAATTTACTTTGCATGATACTTAGACTAAATGCAGATAATTTTTTAGAAATGCCACTTTTCAAAAATATCATCATTTTGAAATTTTCTTTAAAATGCCACTAATCCTCTATATATTAATTGAATAGATATTTGGTGAAAAAATCATATGTATTATTCAATGAGAGTTTTAAGGAATATGTCATCATTTCGACCCAAAAAAAAAAGAATATGTCATTTAAATTAACTAATGAAAATATTTTAATTAAAAATATATGCTATGGTGGAAATCTCTATATATTTTTTATTAATTTTATAACATAAACCCACTAATATATATTTTACAGAGTTAAGTTTAACCAAACGTAATATTTAGACTTACTATATCATCTATTTAAAAAAAATTGATATATTAAAAAGCTTTTTATTATTATATTTGCAACAATACTATTTATTTGTAGATGATAACTACACCTACAAATATTTTTACATTTTATTATTAGAAAATATATATTTTTTGTTTGGTACGTCCGACAAATTTATATAAATCTAAAATTTATTTGATTTATCGCATACTTTATTATTTACACAAATAATAAAACTCAATTTGACATTTCAAATAAATTGAAAATATTTGCATTAGTTTTAATATTTTAGAGAAATTTCAAAAAATGCCACTTTTCAAGTGCCACTTTACAAAAATGCCACACTTTTGAAATTTTTACAAAAATACCACTTTTTCAAAATTATTTTTTTATATTATTTATGTTTGGGTTAATTATATTCTATTAGAGTTTAGTTTTGAGTGTTAGGGGGTTTTAGGTGTCAAAACATTTTTTAGGGTTTAGAATTTTAAGATATAGGCTTTATAAATGTATAATTAGTGGCATTTTTGTAAATGAACACCCCTAAGTGGCATTCTTGCAAATGTACACTCAAAAAGTGGTATTTTTTTAATTGCCCCAATATTTTATGCAAAATTGATCAAAACATATGACATTAAAATATGTTTAGTAAAAATTTAATTTTATTATATTTATGCATAATATATATCATTTTGTACGTTTGTAAGTATTAGAATACATATCTATATATTAAAATCGATTAGAAAATATATTTTAATATTTAATTCTACCCTTAGTGTTGGTCAAAATCTAGTTATTCATTGATACTAAACCATCTACTATATAAAACAACAATGCTTCTGTCCATGTGATGCCAAGTCAGCACAAAAGAGTGGACACATGTCCAATATTTGGTTTCGATCTGCGTTCTTCCGTTTCATCTTCAAATCTCTTAATAAAAGTAACCGAGAAATTTAAGCATTAAAAATCGAACCAGAGTGCTACAAAAATCTCTCTTCCCCATTTCCGTTTCTCCCTCTGGTTCATCAAACCCTAGAGTTTCAATCGATTGTTTCGTACGGAGTTTTTGTTTTGATGCATGTCGATTACGTACTTGCTCTGGTTGGCTCCATATTCTTCTTCCTAACAGCGACCATTACTTTATTTGCAATATGGAAGCCTAAATCTAATGGATCTGTAATCGCTGCTTCTGATCTTCAACGACGCAGGTTCTCTCATTCCTCCCCTTTTAGTATCTGTTTTTGTGTTTCCAAAATTTGGGTTCTCTCTCGGTCACTGGAATTCGAGGGGTTACAGGTTTTCTATTTCAGATTGGACTGCGTTTTGCCAAAAAATCATTAGTAGGGTTTAACTTTTGTTTTGTGAACCTCTTGGTATAGGTATTTGATGCTTGGCCTTGGTTTTGGCCATGGCACTAAATGTTTATGCTTCACATTTCAACAGTTGTTCCTTTCACGTAGACTGGACAGGACAACAATTCAAGACTGGTAAGCTTAAATAGTTTGCTCCATATATCCTTCACTGAGTACGGAATTGTATAACCTCTGGTTAACTCTCCTTAATGTTTACTTCTATGATTTTTGTATTTGTTTTCTGAGATAAATTTCTACTCTTAAGCTTACAAAGAAAATCTACCTGAAGGGTGCTCTTCGAGTTTGTGCCTTCCATAGGATCTATGGAGGAAGAAGGAGGAACGTAAGCCATCCATCTCATCTCCGCAAGACCACTGGTGGTGTTGGTCCATATTCTTCAACAACTCGAGACTATATGAAGATAGTCGACAATAACGCTAAGGGGTGAGTTTATATGTCTATGACTTGTATTTTTTCGTGCCTTAACTTGAACTAAATCCTTGGTACAGAGAAATTATGAAGGTTAGAAAGTCGATACGAAATTTGTATAGAAACCACTTTACTCGACATGTGCATAAGAACGGAAATTATAGCAAGACATTCGACTCACTGGATGCAATGTAAAAAGTTTTATATTGTGCTATTAATTCGTTTACTGCTACCCCTATGGATTCAATTGTTACATTTACTTTAGCTAATCATAACATATAAACGCCAAATAGTCGACTCTT